ATCATAGTCATAGTCATCAACCTAACCTCACTGAACTATGAATCACAGTCATAGTCATAGTCATCATCAACCTAACCTCACTCAACTATATCTTTTTTTTCTCAAACAAAAAAAAAAATTTTTCCAAAATAAAAACTAATGAACCAATCAAGTCAGATTTATTAATCAATCAATCATTGGGTTCATTTCTTTCGAAATTCCATTCAAAAACAAAAAAAAATGACCAGAACAAATGAACTTTTTTTATTTCATTCATTTGCTAAATGCTTTCATTTTTCAACGAAAAAAAAATTGAAAATTCTTCATTTTCTCCCAAAGATTGTTCATTTCATGTTCGTGTTGTTGTTGTTGACAAAAAAAATCTAATAAAAATTCCAATAAAGATATAAGGTGTGTCACCACCATAATGACCAACTGAAATTGGTATGGCACACACACAAGCTCTACATTTGTCCACTTTGTCGAAACACTCCTTGCCTAACATGGCATGACAAAAAAATTTTTGACCAAAAAAAAAGAAAAAAATGTCTAAAGAGTTATTCAGTCAATCAGTCACTATGTCACACAATGTCACATAATGTGAAAATATTATTAGCCAAAATGGTCAATTGGTCAATTCATTACCATTTTTTCTTGTGTGTAATGAATAAAACATTCTTTCATTATGTGGCCAAACGTAAAGTAGAAAGAAAAAAACATAACATGATTACCTGATACATGGTGTGCACACGAACGAACAACAGAAAAATTGTTCAGGTTAATTGTTCAACAACAACAACAGAAAAAATGTAGAAAAATTAGCGAAAAAAAAATTACGATTCATAACCAATACACCTGGTTGTGTGTATGCTATGCTATGCTATGTTAGTTTGTTCGTGATGATCAATTCAAACATCACCCGGTAAAACGACAACAACAACAACTACGATGATCAATTTACCTTATGAATATTTCTATCTATCTATCTATCTGCTATATCCTAGTCATTGAAGGAATTTTTTTCTTCTTTTTTCATTTATCCAAAGCCAGGTAATTCACTCTCGCTACAAGTTTTTTTTATTCAGGTTTTTTTTCTTCTTTTTCTTCATTCAGGCAGGAAAAAAACACTTGAAAAAGTTTAATAGAGAATTTTTCATATTACCTACCTACCTGTGTCTGCCTGTATAAAATTGAATCAAACAACAATAACTCACCTGGTCTATACTCATCATCATCATCATCTGTATTTTATCTGTATCACCACACCTTAGCCATACCTTACCTTACCTTTTTTTTATCGAATGAATTTTTTTTTTCTTCAAAGATTAGATTCAAAAAAAAAATATTCTTCTTCTTTTTTTATCGTACAAGTCGCTGACATAACACGCCAGCAACCAACCAAACCAACCAACCACTCTCGCTATCGTATATGATCGATTATTTTGTTTTTGTTTTTTGTTTGGTTGATTTTGAACTTCAATCATGAATGAATTGAAATACAAAGCTCAAGGTTGTTAGGTAATTCATTTCGTGTTACCTGTGTATGTTTGTGTGATTTGCCCTTTGCCAAAAAACAAAACATAAACAAAAAACAAGTCATCATCATGATGATAATCAAAAAGCACATTTGGATAATATCCGGGTTAACTTTGCTTTTTTTTTTGTTTCACTGCCAATAAAAGCAATGTTTGATGAGTTTTTTTTCTCTACTGAGATGCTTGTTGTTGTTTGTTGATGATCATCCTGGTTGCAACAAAAAAAAAATCCCTAATAATAATAATAATGGCCATAATTTCATTAGAACCTGTGAACATTATATAACGAAACATAGATAAAAAGAGATAGTGGAGAGAGAGAGCAGGTAGATTTAAAAAGTTCATCTCCATTGATGATGATCTGTGTTTATATTCATTTTCATCTTGTTGTTGTTGTTGTTTTTGGCTTTATGGTTTTTGTTTTGTTTTGTTTCGATAATTCCTTCTTTTTATATAGTAACAACCGAATTAAGATTACCTTAAGAATTTCTTTTTTTATCAAAACAAAACAAAACAAAAAATGATTTGATAATGAAAATAGACAAAATAGACAAAACATCTTTTGTTATCTTTTCTCTCTCTGTGTTCAGATGGAGAGATTTGTTCATTACTTGTTTTATTGTTGTTGTTGTTCACATCGTTACCGGATTTTTTTTTTGTTTTTGTTTTCTGTTTTTCGCCATTGGCAAGACATAAACACAGAAGAAAAAAAAACATTTTACCTTTTTTTTCGTTTGATCCGGTTTTTTTCGGCTTTGTTTAGTTTTAAAATCGATTTCGATCAATGATGAGATTTTTTTCTCTTTGGTCATCATCATCATCGGCAATGATCATGACATTTATATATGGTGACAACCTTCTTGTATTACACAAAATGTCATCATCATCATCATTTTTCGGGTGATGACAGATCTCTCTCTTTTTTTCACATGAAATCATCATCGATTTTTTTCAATCAATCAATCAGTTTGATCAACCATGCAATCGATCTGTATGTGTATGTGTGATTTATTGATGATCGAAAGTGGAAAAATTATGATCCATACTGGTTGGTCACACGGTTGTCAGGAATATTTTTTCATTGAACAAAAAAAAAATATCATTTTCAATTTTGTCAATGTTTTTTTTTTCGTTGATGATGATAAGCAAAGAATTTATTGAATTCATTCAACCATTCACTTTCCGAACGAAGAATGAATTGATCAATTAAATTGATAATGATGACGTGACTCGACAGATTTCCATACGCTACCATCATAAATATGGCTTTCTTATCTTCTGAATTTTCGAAAATTGAAAAAATTTTCAATTTTCTTTGTTTTTTTCCACATTCACATTCGATTGATTTAGTCATTTTGAACATTTTTTTTTCAATTTAGCAAGCAAACCAAAAAGAATCAATTTTCCAAAATGTTAATGGCCACGGCGGCGGTGCATTATGTTTCGTTCACTATGATTTTCATTTTTGATTCATTATAATTTCAAATTTACTATCAATCAACTATAACATAGGTAGTATTCGTCGATTCCTTCAGTCATTCAGTCAGTCGGTATGGTGTGTTATCATCCATGAATGAAAAAAAAATTGAACGAAAATTTTCTTCTGATTTTCGATGGGAAAAATTATTATTATTATTATTTCGTCTCATCATTGATGGGCGATGATGATGATGATGACCCGTAACACATCATATACACACAGGTAGTGTTTTTTTGTTGTTGTTGTTGTTGTTTGCTAATGATTATGTTTGTTGTTGTTGTTATTGGGTAAATAGTAAATAATAATGATGAGGTCTTCACGAT